ATGAGAGAATGTCCCAAAGAGAAGAGCGTTCAAGGCTTCAAAGAGAAGAACTGGTACTATGACAGAGCTCGAGGAATAGAGAACATCTCTTAGTTCTGGGGATGAAGATAAAAATTTATTTTTATAGGGACCAAATGCAGTGGTGCTAGGGGGCTGGGGGCTACTTCCAGCCTTGCTAGGTCCCATGCTATGACATGGAGAATTGCTTGGGTCCCGGTGCTGGGCTGCAGGACTTCGTGATGCTCAGGGTCCAAGTAGAATTGAATACGGAGCTCAAGATTTCCCACATGTGCTCTCCCACCATGGTTCTCACTCACCCCTATTAACTTATTAAGCCCTAGATTAGCAGAAGATAACAAACTTAAAGGCATGCATATGATGAAAGAGTTACATGGGACTACATGGACTTAGGAAGAGAGGATGGCAAGTTACGCAGCAGTCCCCAGGAGAGGACCAGGCCGAGTTCAGGCTGACCACAGCAGTAAGTGGTCAAGTAGTTCAGGGTGGTGACTAATCGCAACATAGCTTGGTGGCATAAATGAAGAGAAAATGTTTTCTACAAAAGTTGTAAGAGCTAAGACTGGCATAAAAAATCACTGAAATAATTTATAGAAATCAGAAAAATATTGGTGTAGCTAAGACAGAGAAATTACCCAAGGGAATCAGATCTGGAGTAAAAGTTGATGAGCAACTGAGTTATGCAAAAATTATGTTGTGCTAAAAGGATGGCATCTATTGCATTTTAAGTAACTGTAACTGTTGAACTCATATCAACAAATGAGAACTGAAGCTATGAGAACAAGTAAGGTTTGGTTCTTCTTGGAAGAAAATAAAATTAAAGCTTTGGTGAAAAAGAGGCAGAAGTCAAGAGGGGGCGTTTTAAATAGAATCAGATGAAACAGAATGACTGTAGCAATTTCTTCATTCTAAAGCTTTTAAAGCATAAAAATAAAGCTTTCAGAGTCCATATGCTTAACCAAATGGAGAGAACAGCCCCATACATGAAGAATTATATGTGCTAAATTGAAGGATAAGGTAGAAAGAGCATGCCATCTGACATAATCCTACCATAAAAGCATTAAAGCATGACTCAGAGACTTAACCCACAGAAAGATATTATTAATAGAAACTCCTGTTTGCAAAACAGCACAAAAATGATATGCCATCAAAAACCAAAACAGTAAGGCCAAATTTTCCTTTCTATGTTTTCTTAAGAGAATATGTGGATTCTAAAAAAAAAAAATCTTTATGATTTCAATTGTAATTTCAATTTACATACAAATCAGAGGCTCTGGCCAATCATTTTGAATTTTGGTTGGTTGGAATGTATGGAATGTCTCTCCTTCCCACCTTATTTTTAACCTGAAAAGGTTTAAAGTTAGAAAGCACTGTTGCTGCTGGCCTTACAAACTTTCTGTTTCTTAAAAAAAAAGCAACGTTGAAAGATCTGTGGCAGTCTCCCCCATTTTATTATCTTACTGTCTTTATTACTTTTAAAAAGCACAACTTATGGGAAGCTGCTCAGGTATGCCCTTTGGTTTCCTTCCAAAATTATTTTTTAAAACATCATTCTTATCTTTTCTAAGGCACAGCCTAAATTACAAGGTAGATTTAAGATGACTCACAAGTATATATTATGTATATTTACAGATGTTTGTGTATTCATGAAGATTGAAGGGCACCTCTCAAAAACCTAGTTTCTACTAGGACGGTTTAAGGGAAAAAAAAAAGGTGAAACAGCTCTACTTTAAAATGCAAAGAGATCGGCTGGAGAAATAGTCCAGGGGTTAAGGTGCTTGCCTTGTACATTTCTGACCCTGTTTGATCTCCTGTGATTCCTGTACCAGCTAGGTGTGGCCCCCAAGCCAAAAATAAAATGCAAGAAAAAAACCCGATTTATGCAAAAGATAAACAAAAACTGAAATCAGAGTATTTCATTAAATTTTTTCATTCTGAACAATAACAACAAATGAGATGATATCAGAATTAAGGTAAAGGTAAAGGTAAAGGCCCTCCCGTTGATCGTCGATTTGCTCGAGCGGGCCCAGTAACGTCTCCATTGGAGACTTTGTTGTTACTGTGTCTGGCATATCGAATACTCTCGGTAGCTTGCCGGGCTCTCCGAGAGGGGCGGAGGAATCGAACTCGGGTCGGCCATGTTGGCCGCTTGTAAGGCGAACGCCCTACTGCTGTGCTATCGCTCCAGGAGCTGGAGCGATATCAGAATTAAGGAAAACTAATTTAATTTAACATGCAGTTGTTAAATGCAGTGATTAAAAGTGGTTAACATGCAAAGAGAAAAACCAGGCATCTCTATCCTCTGACTCAAGAAAACTCTAAAACTTTACAAGAGATTAATGTAGTACATGAAAATTATTCTGATCCATATAATAGGGGGAGTGTGTTGGGTCTCTTCCCATTTGTCCTTACACCCTTGCTCTATAATCCCTCCCTTTTATATTCTAGGAGGTCACTTCTTCATCCTCTAGCTGGGACCTCAGGTGACATGTGACACCTCCAGGGTGGACTGGGTGCTTCTATGGGTTCTCAACATCTCAGTATAGCCCCTTAAAGGCACACGCCACATCATTTTAGCATTGCTCTGTGCTTATCTGCCTCCTCAACTAATCTGAAACTAGGCTTTCTGGCAGGCGGACTCTCAACCTTTACTCATCTGTTTATCACAATACCTGGAAAAAACCACTTTTTTGTTTTGTTTTTGTTTTTTTAAGCACATGAATCAATGAGTAATGTGCTGTATCACCCATATGAATTGAAATGGGTCTACATTTTTAAAAAACCAGTCACTCAAAATATAGTCAGGTAGCTTGTAGGAATAATCTGTAGTGTTTTAAAACTTTAAAGTATGTTTAAAGTATGAGAGGTAAATGATTTTGATCTGGTCAGAATATTAGTATCTCTCTCTCTCTCTCTCTCTCTCTCTCTCTGTCACACACACACACACACACACACACACACACACACACACACACACCCTTCTGATGGTATGGAGGGAGAGTGACTTCCTCCCATTCAAGGAGCCAAGAGCCTACACTCCTATGAGTGTAAGGAGATGTGGAATTGTGCCCAGTCTGACCTAGCTGGGATGGGGTAAAAGCAGAGAAGACTCAAGTGCTTGTCCTTGAGATAGATCCAAAGCCAGAGAGCAAACACCAGTGACCCCAGAGAGGTGTCAGTTTCTTCCAAGTGGCTCCTTCAGAGCCTCTTTCTGCTACAGTGGCCGTGCCCTTTCCCTTCTTCTCAGTTCTGGTCCACTTGTCAAACCAAGCGCGATGAGAGAGCAGTAGCAAGTACAAAGGAGGAAGAGCTCCATAGCGCTGAGGGCTCCCTGGGGCCCCAGATGGGCCTGCTCTGCACGGCCAGTCCACACCTCTCCAGCCCAGGAAATTTTAAGCCTGGGCGGAAACTCCGGGTACAAACGTGAGAGCTTGCTCACTTCCAGCAAGCTGTTAAAGTTTTTGTTGAAAAGACCTTGGCAGCAAAAGAAATGACCTCATAGGACTTTATGGTGAGAGAGGAAAAAAAAGCCTAAGCCTTAAGAATACATATAATGACAACAGACTTTTGAGACCCAGGGCACAGATCTGGGTGAGTTCCTGAGAGTAAGGGTAGGGAGAGAGAGAGAGAGGAGAGAGGAGAGAGAGGAGAGAAAGAGAGAGAGAGAGAGAAAGAGAGAGAGAGAGAGAGAGAGAGAGAGAGAGAGAGAGAGAGAGAAAGAGAGAAATGGGCTACAGGCATTGAGGTTCCTAATGTAATATCAGTGCATGCAAAATGCAGTTGAGTTTCAGAAAAGTTATAGGTCAAGTATTGGAAAGATTTTCGTGACCAAATTCTACTTTCATGTTTTTGTGCCATACCCAGCGATGCTCAGGGATTACTCCTGGCTCTGAGCTAAGGATTACTTCTGGTACTTCAGGGGACCTTATGGGGTGCCAAAGATCAAATTTGGGTTGGCCACATGCAAGGCAAGCACCCTACCCGCTGTACTATCACTCTGGCTCCAACCAAATCCTACTTTCAAAATAGAGAGACACTCTAGAAACAGAGAGGCATACTGAGAGGCATTTCAGCTTTCCAAAGGATAGAAAGAGCGAGTCCTGTTTCAGCAACTCTGCCTTAATGCACATCAAAGTACAGGAGGAGCTGGCGCCCACATCCTTGCTCAATGTTCTAGCAAACAATCACTGCTGAGTGCTGATCTCTGCTTCCGGGCAAACCAGTCCTGTGACCCAGCTCTCTCTGGTGATGGCAAATACTGCAGCTGCAAATCTTACACGAAGGAATTAGGAAAGGGAGAAAGAAAGCCAGATGCTCAACACCAGACACCAGGTCGTGTGCTTTCCTGGGCAGCAAGCAGATAGTTCAACAACCTGGAAAGAGTGTCTGAGCTGGGCATGGGCTCAGAACTGTTCACATTAAAAAACAAAACAAAACAAAACAAAAAACCCCCATATGCTTACCATTTTTTTTTTCCTTTTTGGGTCACACCCAGCGATGCACAGGGATTACTCCTGGCTCATGCACTCAGGATTACTCCTGGCAGTGCTCGGGGAACCATATGGGATGCTGGGATTCAAACCCAGGTCAGCTGAGTGCATGCAAGGCAAACACCCTACCCACTGTGCTATCGCTCCAGCCCCTATGCTTATCATTCTTGTATTTTTTTTTAAGTTGTAAAATGCAGGCTGAGTCATCATGCACTCACACATGAATCCCCTTGAGTTTACATTAACTTGATTATAAGGAATAAAAATGACACTAGTTTTAAATTTTTTATCCCTCAGGGTCTAGACCTTACAGTTGTTTAAAGCTTAGTGCTAAGTTCCTCTAATATGAAACTCTATTTCCCAATGTGTCTGGCAAAACCCACAGGGGCACATTTGAGAGGATGGTTACGACATTCATTGTCCATGTCCTCGGTGAAGTGTCTGTTATCCTAAAGGCAAACAAGAGTGTGCAGGAGGGTCAGTGAGAGTTACCTAGCTGCTTCTCCCGCTCCTCACGACGCTCCCGGGCCAGTCGCTGCCGGTCATCAACTCGCAGCACGGGTGGAGGGTCTGAAAAGGAGAGAAAAAAGCATAAGAGCAAGAACAGATTTTAAAATAGAAGATAAATTTTTGTCCAGCACATTTAAATCAAATATTACTGTCTAGTATCAACTGGTACCTAATGACTATAGTTTCAGTAATATACTTCATTGCTATAATTCTTGGAAAATTTCCAAGCCTTTCCCTTCTATTTTTAAAGTGCATAAAAATGTAACTGTAGCTGTTTTGTCTGTTTTCACAAATGTATCCAGTATTTTGTGTTTTGGTGGTGCTGGAGGGCAGTGCTGTCAATCAAACATTTTGAGTTCTTAAACTACTGACCTTCTATTACTTTTATGCCTTAAGAAAATCTATTTGGAGAGACTGTATAGCGGAAAAGGTTTATGCTCTGGCTGGCCTCTATTCAATCTCTGGCACCACATGGTCCCCCAAGCAAACTTGGGTGCAGTTCTGGAGATCTGCGGTACCTGCAGGTGTGGCCTTTCCTGATGGCCTTTAATTACTGCAGGGGTGACCTGGATGATCCACAGCCCCACAGAGACTGAACGATACCACAGCCCCAGGCCCTTGTACTGAGCTGCCAGTTGAAAATGTTGGGAAGGGGCCCTGTCCTCATGAAAACTGCTTGAAGTCCTCCCTTCCCCCATCCTCCCCCGCCCCCCTCAATTAGAGACAGATGTGTTCGGTATCTGTTCTGTCGCTCACTACGCTAATCTGGCCATTCATCACCCACCTCTCCCAGTGTCACTAATTTTATTTTACTACCTATAAAATGAGGATAAAACTAGAACACAATATCCCTAATATCACAATAGGCATTAAATTATACTTTAAAGGGCGTTAGTATACTGCCCAGCATATACTAAGTCCCACTACATGAATTCATTTTATATATTGCACACTACAGGGCTGGAGTGATAGCACAGCGGTAGGGCGTTTGCCTTGCGCACAGTCAATCCGGCAGAGCTGGGTTCGATTTCTCTGCCCCTCTCGGAGAGCCTGGCAAGCTACCAAGCCTATCTCACCCGCGTGGCAAAGCCTGGCAAGCTACCCGTAACATATTCAATATGCCAAACATAGTAACAACAAGTCTCAAAATGGAGACGTTACTGGGCCCGCTCGAGCAAATCAATGAACAATGGGAGGACAGTGACAGTGATATTGCGCACTTACTATACTAAGTGCTCAAAGAAAACAGTCAATAAAAATAATGAGTATTTCTGTCCCAGAGGGTTTACAGTTTACCAAAAAATTTCAACCAGGAGCTAGAGCAATAGTACAGTGGTAAAGCATTTGCCTTGCACGTGACCAACCCAGTTTGATTCCATATAGTCCCTTAAGCACTGCTAGAAGTAATTCCTGAGTGCAGAGCCAGGAGTAACCCCTGAGCATTCCTGGGTGTAACCCCCCCTCCCCTGCCACTAAGGGAAGAAAAATTTATATATATGGAAAACAAAAGCTATGCAGAATTTTCTGCTGAGAAAAACATGAAGGAGACAAAAAAGAAATAAAAGGAATTAAGAAATGGCAGGGAATGTATAACATTTTAGCCAGGGGCCACATGGGGGGGGGAGGGTCGGGGAGGGAGTTGGCTACTTGTGGTGATAACTTATGCAAAACTTGATCCAAGGACACAGGGAAGAAGCTCAAAGGAGCAGAGTGCAAGTCTAGTATGCACGGGGCCCAGGATGATTCCCAGGGCAGGCACTGGAAGCTTCTCTGACCACTGTCAACTGTAACTCTCGTGGTGCCCAAGAGTCACTGGTCCAGCACTGAACTACCCAGTCATGCACCTGACCAAATATTGCTGGGCATTGGCCCTGGGTATATCCTGAGCACTGCTGGAGAGCCCCCTACCCCAAATTTAAAAAGAAAATCTCATGCTGAAAGTGAGAGGGCTAGCTAAGCAGATATTCTAAGAGATAGAAAGCAAGTGCAAAGGTCCTGGGGTTGTGAGTACTTAGTTTGTTCAGTAAGAAGGTGCTGGTACAAGAATGGAGTGAGATCCCTACGGGATGAGGGTACAGACAGAGCAGGCTCATTGGATAAGGCGAAGATGTTGTCACACTCTGGGTGTGACAGCTCTGGGGGCTTTCTGCATGCAGAGGATCCCACAAACAGGCTCACTCTGCTACCAGGTGAAAACATAAAAATAATCATGCTGGTGGTGATACTTACATTTAAAAATCAGGTTCATCTGTCCCTTTAGTAAAATGATAGCATATTTTTAACTCATATTAAAAATAAATTCACTGGAATGTTACTTGAGAGACAATATGGTAGAGCATCATCGACTGACTTAAAAGCTTTAATCCAAATGCCTCTCAAATATCACAGATTCTGTACAGCGAGGGGAAATAGGAGCTGCAGAAATGCCCTTTTGGAGTCTGCAACATGAGCAGGACTGGAGAATTCTATTCTACTCTTGATGTTTTGGTACTGGGGAGCAAACCTAGGTCTCCGACATATGAGGCAGGGACTCTCCCACCGAGTGAGAGCCCTGGCCACAGTATGTTGTGATTTGGTTTTTGTTTTTGAGGCTACACCTACAAGTGCTCAGGGGCTATTCCAAGTCTACTTTTCTGGGGCCATATGGTTCCAGGGATCAAACTACAAGATATGTTTTTAAAGAGAAAACAACTGGAACTAGGAATTCCTGGTTCACATACATGACAAGCATTCTGTATAATTAGCAGTCATTTAGAAGTTTTCATCTATTTTTTGTAGGAAATTTCATAGGAAATTATAGCTCCTAACCTAAAAAGATTTACTGCTAAAAATGGCATAGAGACTACCTCCTAAGCACTTTGTGAAGTTCCATATTTGAGGGGAAGGGGTGTTTAGTGGTCATTATTTTTGGTGAAAGGAAATGTCATAATAAAATGGTATTTTGAAGAATGAATATCTGGGAATGAAAATAGTCAGACCAGACTATTAATACTTATTAATTATTGTCCTTTAAATAATGAATTTACTCACTCATGAAAACTTATTTAAATGACACGAAAATAAACCTTATTTATAAAAGTCCTGAGTATACTATATGATATCTATAAAGCATTTTAATTAACTTAAATTACACTGACAAATTTTATTCACACACAATATGGCAATATACAAAATTTGATGTTTCTAGTTTTCTAGTATATGATTAATTTTATGCCAATTTTTGAAAATGTTTTAAAGATGGTCTTAACTTATGAGAAGTATAGCACACACTTACTTTCACTCCACCCCAAATAACCTGAATAATTTGAAATGCTAACTGGCATTTCTGTAGTAATGTGGCAATCTCCCATTATCCAGTGCAAATTTGTCTTTTAGATGCATAGTTGGAAACTGGGAGAGAATGAGATAACAGATTTTCCCAACCTCTCTGCTATCATTTCATATGAAAATTATGCTCTTCACAAGTAACAAACAGAACCCTGTAACACATGTGAAAAATAGCTGCACAGTATACTCCACAACTGATGAGTTACTCTAAGACAGGCCAATCTGCAGAGTGCAAAAGTTTCCAATTGCTTTCTTTACGATTAGTTCTATGTTGGGAAGTGAAGTAATTATAAAAGTATAATGAAGTTTTAGATATTAATAAATATGTTCACACAGAACCACAAAATATGTATAAAATCTCCTTATTTCAGTACCACAAGATAATAAATTGTGCATCATTAAATGACTTTTGTGAAGTTTAAAAAATCAAATCTGGGATTTGGATTGAAAGACTGTATTATCTAAAATAGTATTGGAGATTCAAAGCTGAGGAATAATTGAATCCTATAATAAATAAATATCAAAGTTATATAAAAAAGATTAGTTCTGTCATTATTATCATTATTCATCTGGAATTTGTTTTCAGAAAATAAAGCACTAACGAAGCAGTTCTAAAGAGTGTGGTGTCCAGTAAATGTGATAGGCTACTGATCTAAGTTGTTTTAATAATCTGAAACTAGAAAATATGGAGTTTCAGAGTGAAAAAGGACTTCTATTTAAACTCTCTCCTGATTGCATCAATAAAAAGGTGACTTTGGTGCTGGAATGTTAATAGCACCTGAGGCAGATTCACAATGTCTGTGAAAGGTTGAGGGGAGAAGGTGGCCTTGTAGTCTGTGTTTATGCTATATCCCCCATGTCTAGGGCTGTATTATACATAAGAGAGGACATTCAATACCTTTTTATTGAATGAGTGAGCAAATGACCTTGGCTAACTTTCAAAACCTTCCAATGCAGCAAACTAAAAATAATCTTTTATTGGACATCGGACTTACCTTTATTGATAGGATTTTAACAACAACAACAACAAAAATAATAAGTGCATGTTCCAAGTAAACAGTGAATGTTCCGTAATTGTCTGTCTCTCATTTCTCCCTTCACATCACTTTCCCCTGGAACGATTAGGTATAGAAAATAATCTAACATTATGGACATTACATTTATGTTTCCCAATAATCCTAACATGTTAGGATCAAATTAATTTACTGGCACTCAGATTGAAAAATGGTTTTATTGAGTGGGTGTGGGTCAGCTGGGCCACTCCTGGCTGTATTCAGGGATCGATCACACCTGGAAGTACTCAGAGGACCATACTCGGTACCTGAGGTCCAACTGGAATCAGTCTTGTGCGAAGCAAGGGCCTAAGCCCTATACGGTTCCTCTGGTCTTCAGGAGAAAAAGTTTTAAGAGAGTTTGAACATTGGTGTAAGGAAGTTTGCTGCTGTACTCTGCAGCCAGCAGTGACCCCCTGATCACCAGGTCAGCAGTAGGGCCAGAACACTGCCTGTGTGGTGCAGAAACCAAAATAAATTAATGGGGTGACACTGCAAACCAGGACATTTAATTAGTGAAAGGGAGTGTTGTTGTTTTTAAGTTTTACAGAAAGTTAACAAACTATACACTACCCTAACTCACATTCAATAAAGTCAGAAAGTTTTACCCAAGCTAACCCTCCAATGTCCTTATTGTGCTCTCCCAAGATATTTAGAAAAACAGTATGGGAATTTTTATAGTAAATCTTTGTTTATTTGTTATTTTTGGGCCACACTCAGCTGAGCTCAGGGCTTACTCCTGGCTCTGCACTCAGGGATCACTCATGGAGGTCTCAAGTGACAGTACTGGGTGCCAGGGATCAAATCCAGGTTGGCCCCATGCAAGGCAAGGCAAGCCCCTACCCTCTGTACTACCTCTCTGGCCCTAAATGTCTTTTATATACCATTTCTTAGCTCAAGAAAGTTGCAAAGGATGCTCTAAAAACAAAATCTGAGATAAAATGTCTCTGTATTTAACTTAGCTTTAGCAACAGAAATGAAAAGGCCCCACAAAGAGGTATACAATAGGAGTGGAGATTTCTCTGTCCTTTGTTTTCTTTAGATTCTGTGTAGATCTCGACACTGTGCAAGAATTAGCTATTACTATATTGGTTTATTCCACCATAACATCAACTAGAGTGCAGTAATTCTCTCTTTCTGTTTGCAGGTGTTGGGAGGGGGACACCCCGCTGTATTTAGGGCTTAGTCCTAGTTCAGCACTCAGGGATCCCTCCTGGTGGGGCTCAAGAGTATGACATGGGGTGCCAGGGATCAGACCCGGGTTGGCTGTGTGCAAGGCAAATGCTTTACCCACTGTACTATCACTTTGGCTCTGGGATTGTCTTATTTTAGTAATAACTCCCGAGTATTTACTCTAATACCACATGAATGAGTTATCAGGATATAAAAATATAAATTGCATAATAAAGAACAATAGAAATTAGAAGCAGAGATTGAAGGGATAGATAGATTTAAAAAATATATAAATCATTTATCTATGTTTAATTTTCACAGTAAAGCAAACTATTTTCATGCAAAAGAATGCTTTCTACAGGAAGCTCATTTTAGTGTAAGGAGCAAAAGTCCACTAGGTAAGTAAGGTCTGTAACTGTAGGGTCCTGTTTAGGGTCCTGTTTTTTTTTTTTTAATTTTTGGGTCACACCTGGCGATGCTCGGGGGTTACTCCTGGCTCTGCACTCAGGAATTACACCTGGTGGTGCTCAGGGGACCATATGAGATGCTGGGAATCGAACCCTGGTCGGCCGTGTGCAAGGCAAACGTCTTACCTGCTGTGCTGTCACTCCAGCCCCTAGGGTCCTGTTTTGCTCATATAACATGACTCAAAATCTATCCACTAGGACAACTAAACAAATATAACAAAATGGATGGGTGTAGATGGACATGTGGGTGGATAAGGGAATGAATGAAAGGGCAAGCTCACAACTGAGGGAAATCTCAACTTGTTGATAAAAATCCAACTAAAACAACACAGTACTTGTCACTAAAGGCTGCTTATGGAATACTTAAAACACTATTTGCAATTTGTCTTCTACATGGCGAGTTTTATCTACTATATTTATCTACTCTGTTCAAGACCTTTTCCACATGGAAGAGAATCTCAATACTGAGAACAATAGGAATGTTTTCTATGCAGCTAGATGCAGTCATATCCAGTTTCTATTCTCACTGATCACTGTTCATGAGTGACCTCAGATTGGATGCTGTACAACAAAGACTTTCCAAGCATTTCCTGGGGTGCTCAATTTGCCTTTACCTCTCTTGATTGTCTCTTATGGTCATACTGTATATGTATCTCTCCTAGGAACATACAATAGTTGCTGGGTACCTAGATGCAATTTCATCCTCTATTTAGTTGTTTGTATTATGTTTACAGACTGCTGCTGCTGCTTCTTTCTTTCTTTTTTTAAATATAAACTGAGTCATCCTCTGTTAAATGAAATTACTGCGTAGGTACATTGTCATTGCAGGGAATGAAAAACTCAAACACTTCTATACCAACTTTGCTATGTGTCAAGATCACATAATTTTTGAAAAAGTAATAAACAAGATATGCAATAACCCTGGGCATATAGTTACCAACAGTCCTGCTGTGTTTAGCACTTCAAATAGAAAAGTAAAACTGTCGTATCTTCTACAATGCTTGACAGTGAGCAATACAGGTGCATAAAGCATCATTACATTGATACATGACCATAAGAGGTGCACTAGGAATGTGCTTGAATCTTCATTTAAGTGAGAAAATCAAGACTTTGAGAGAAGCCAGTAGGGGGTATGTACTGTGGGTATGTACTTTGTCAGGGGCCAAGATCTCCTAAATTCTAACTTGGCTTTAAGGCTTGTGGACAAACATTTTTTTCCCACCCTACAGCAAAAGCTGAGTACCATACCTGGTTTATTGCCTGAGAGGGTGCTGTTTTGTCCTGAAATCGAAGAGGAGGGCCGGTTGGTGGCAGCAGTTTTCTTTTCATGCACTTTGTAGTTGTCAGGAGCTATACAAATGAGACAGAAGGAACAGACATTTAGTTTCTTCAAACTTATTCAGAAAATTCACCTCTTCCACATTTGCTGTTGACTTTTCTTTCAGGTAAAGGCTTGATTCAAGAAATACAAGGGTGAATTAGTTGTTTTTGTTTTTGTGGTCAGGGGTCACGCCCATTGTTGCTCAGGGATTACTCTTGGCACTGTACTCAGGAATCTTTTCTTGTGAGACTTAGGGAGCCATATTGGTACCAGAGATTGAATCAGGGTTGGCTACATGCAAGGCAAGTGCCCTACTCACTACCATCCTTATTCTGACCCCAAGGATGAGTCATTTAGAACCCCATCTCCTATAGTTATGCAAAGGAAGTATATATCCAAAATTCAATGGTTTTTAATGGAAATTTCCCACCATGTAAAATTTACGATGTTAGTTTCCACCACATGGGATTCGAATTGAATTCCACCAGGTGGATGCATAATGGGTTTTTAAGTACTCTGGTCTTGGTTCTTACAAAGTTAATGTGTTAGGAAGCAAAAAATTCTAAGAACATAACTAAGAACAATATACTAAGATTTTGAAAAAGACTTAGACCAAAGTTCAGTATTAAAGGTTATTAAAGAGACTAAGGGAAATGCATTTGAAGAAAGGAACAAAGAGCAGAAACACCAGGTAATTCTCTGGTTGGGTAAGAAGAGGGTTCTCCAAGTCCAAGTAAAATTTTCAATTTGATATGATTTCAATTTGATATGGTTTCAAATTTGATAAGATTTCAATTTGATATGGTTTCAAAGAATAGCTAAAAGGAGTTCTTCCTACTCTTTCTCAGAGAAATCATGTATAAAACCACACGCACGATTTTCTCTGCCTCAAAACGTGCTCCACCTATGGTCTTCACCATGAAAACAATTCCATTCTCTGGGTTGACTAGGCCTAGCAGTCATCCTTGACTTCTATCACCTCTTACATTCAATCCTTTACTTTAGTTGTAGCTTTAAAAAAAAAAATCTCATTTTTGCCACTGCCTTTCTGAGTATCTTCCCTGTGTGACTGCAATAATCTTAACTAGTCTACCTGATCCAACCACTCACCCCTTCTATTTTCTTCTCAGTAGGTGGGGTCGAAACGTAAATCCTTTCTTGTCATTCCCAGTAGCCAAACTCTCTACAGCTGCTGTCTCACTCAGTAAAACTCAAGGTCTCCATCACTGCCTGGAAGATTTTATACAATTTGGCTTTTACTTGTACTACTTTTTCCTCGTATTTACTCTGTTCTACTTGTATTGCCTGACTGATTCCATCCATCTATCTCAGCATACCCTGAAATGCTGTCCTAGATATCAACATGGGTCTCCATTCACTCTCTTTCCCTGCTCTAATATGACATCAGAGACTCTCCTTGTTCTGAAGACAGCAACCTCCATGACCCCCATTACTTCTTACCCTGATTTCTTTTGTTGATCTTACCCCCGATACACTATATATTCATTATCTACATTAAACTCAGAACTAGATAGTACTTAGAGAACCAGAATTATATGCTCAGGGATATGATAGTAATTGCTTCAGGAAGACCAATTTTTAAAATGGTATCCAACATGTACTGAAAACCGATTACTAAAATTATGATCTCTAAATGGGAGAAACTGAATTTTTTTATGGTTTTCTATCAATTAGGATCAGCTAGCATAGAAAAGCATAGATTAAGTTGTAAAAATATTAAAAACTGTCCAGTTTCAAATGATTTGCTTTAAATAACACCTTCAAATGTAAAGGTGAATTGGCTTGAGCTTCCTTTGCTGTATTTGTAGAAAAGGTCTATAAAGATTCAGAAGAGAATGGGCAGAAAGCAAATAAAAAGTGAAAGAGCAAAAGGCTTTGATGAGAGGTTTCTGATACAATTTTGTCCTTGGTGGAAGTATCTCTTATGATGAAGTATGGGGACAAAGCAAGCTAAATCCCAGGGGAGCCAGGACAGGCCCTGACACTGTTTTAACAAGAATGTCAGAAAACATGCCAGTTTCTGTAACACTGTGATAAGACATGCTCTCAACCTGCCTGCCTCAAGAAAGTTGCCAGCTTGCTCTAAGCTGCAGTGGAGATGACGAATATATATGGTATATTATATATATATGTATGTGTATAAATATATATATATATAGTGTAACAGTCTCAAATCCAAACATCGTATTTGTAAGCTTTGTGGCTCATTATGGACAGGATAACCTTTCCTCTGATTCACCAAGTTAATTTTCTTAAAACTGCCCAGAAAGAAGTTAATAGTTAAAAAGATAAACAGAGAGAAGAATGCCCCACAGATTTGAAGTCATGGATTATAGTTTTCTTCTGACGGCTCCTTTAAGCTCACAGCAAGTAAAGTCTTACTCAATTAGTAAATGAATTAGAAAACCTTTATTTGTTATTTTTAGTTAACTGAAAGAGAATATTAATTATTTATATTTCCAATGCATTCATTTCTTTCTTAGCATGGTAAGCTTAATAGAATCTTTCCTTATGACTGAGCATTTGCAATCTCCCCAACTCCTGATAAATAAGTATCAACTCTAAGTGAATTTTATGGAAAAGAACTAGGGAAGAAATTAGAAAGACTAACAAACGTTCATTGCAAGTGACTTTTCCAAATAATCCCCAAGAGAGGGGCCATGGACTAATACGATCAGATTCACAGTGGTACACCCAAAAACCCCGATCAAGGGCTGGTGTTGGGGACACATTGTCATTTACTTTATTGTCTTGAAATTCAAATGTAAAGGGCTGGAAGGTGGCTTAGCGGTGGAACCCCTGCCTTGCATATGAGAGGCCATTAGTTTGATTCCCGGCAGCTGTGAGGGAAGGAAGGCCGAAAGGAGACTTACATTTGAAAAATAAATTTCAATTAAGCTGGAGGTCTAATTTCTTAAATTTCAACTTATCTACTTCTGACTTTTACTAGATTCACTCTAGCTGAATATCAATCTGCCACTGAATTGTCATCTGGATCTCAAGGATTCATCTGAATTCCAGAAGATCCACTAACTCCTACTCATAAAAATACAAATTTGGATTCTACATTATTTTTCTGGTTATGTAAGACTGAAAGGTTAGACTTGGTAAAATAAAAGTAATACAAACTGTTAGATTTGTTTGGCCAAAGATGATTATATTGCCTTTTCCTCTCTCCTTCCCCTCCCTCTCTCCCTTTCTCTTTCTGCCCAGGTTAAGATTTAACACAAGGGTATAAATCCTTGACCTCACACTTAAATGCTCAGGGCTACTGTTCTGGTTACCACTACAGCATAAAAATATTTAAAAAATTGGCAGCTAAAACAACCATTTTCTTTCCCCCACCCCCCCCCTCACACCCTGCAGTTCTCAGGGATGACTACTGGTGGGGCTCAGAGTATCATATGTGGTGCCAGGAGGGAGTCACATGCAAGGCAAGTGGTGCCTAATCCCTTATACTATCTCCCTACAACCAAAACAACCATTTCTTTTGCTCACACAGAGTTTAGTTAGGCTATTCTGATTGTCTTGTTAGGGTGTGACCCTTTCTTCCCACTACCCCAGGTTCTACCACGTGACCACTACTATTTCCCGGGATAAACAACCAGAGCCTTCATCCCATTTTTCTACCTATCATTCCCTTCCTATTCCTCCCCCACCCTCCCCAAACAGACCTGGGTTTAAACCTGAGTCCTGCTACTGACAGGCTGAGTGACCTTCAGAATGCTTCCTGCCTTCTCCAAGCAGGTGACAGGAGTGACGCGGCCTAAACTCATAGGGTCACTGTGAAGACAGATCTGGCTGACTGAGATGCCACGTAGAGCGAGGCACACAGCAGGTGTTTAATGAACAGTCCCCTTTGCCTTCAACCTTTGAACATGATTTCAAAGAGGTGCCGGGCCACCCACATCCCAGGCCCCTGGAAGTGTGGACAGGTGAGTGGGGCGAGCTCGGAAGTCTCAGCACATCACCTGCCCTGCAAGTACTCCCTAATGTAGGAAATGGGGTTTCTGGCTCCTGGGCGCTATTTTCATTCAACACAAATGGGGTAAGCAGATCTAGGTCAGCTTGGTGACAGTGTCTGGTGGCAAGGGGGTGGGGTGGAGTGACCAAGGTGGCAGGTGGGTTCAGCTTCATTGCTGGGTGCAGAGGTTTTCAGCTCAGCTACAATCGTACCTTCTAGGGTCCCCGAGGGCTGGGCTCAGGGGATAACCTGATCTGTAAAGAGCTAATCAACAGTTCTTCTGGAACCCAGACAGATGACAGTTATTACATGAAAGCAAATTCAGACTTTGAAAAAAAAACCCCTCCATCGTAATAATGGGAAAATAAAGAATCCCAAGAGAGTTTCTTTTAAAACATAAACTATAGAGAATATTACAGTCCTAGAATCCAGTGAAACAGGAATGTATTCAGTCTAAGACTTTTAAAATTTTAGATCTGGAAATCCCTTGGTAATGAGTAGGCAGGTTTGCATACACCTTAAAAAAATGTTAAGACTATTTTAAAAATGAGTCAGGTGCTTTTCTAGTATTACAGCTTCATAAATTCTCTTTCCTTTCTTTAAAAGAGAAAACTAAGCCTACCATGATGCTCAATAAATCTTCGTTAGCCTTATCCAATCATTATTGATCTTCCCGCTAGCTTGAAAGCTTTGTTCCATTAGCGTCTCCACGTGAGCGAGTGCTCAAGTACAAGAGGAAGGACACAGAGGCATATTGTGCTCTGGGACTGTCTCTCATTCAGCAAAAAACATTCAGCAGTTCGAGTAAGTAAGTGACCCCGAAGTGCACCTACCATCCAAATCCTTGTATGGCTCAGGAATTGCATTCCTGCATGCTTAATTTAGTAAAAAAAAACAAACTAATCCTAATGAGGAATTTATGATTCCAACCTATAAGACCAACCTCGGTTTGAATCTCACTGAAAGACAGGAGGCTGGAAGGCTGGAAGGCTGGAGGGATATTGGATTTGATGCTTCAAATTTAATCTGCAGTGCCATAAGGTT